TAATGGACCATCTCTCCATATTGCTGAATATATTGTTATAGATCCACTTTTGCCCATTTCTTTAAGTTCATTAAACTGAATGTATGGTATCCATTCAAATACTACATCATTATTGGTTTCAACTTTTAATTGCCTTTTCTCAATAAAATCATCAATTTTTTTATTTCCACTTATTTGATTTGTGAGACTTAAAAAATTATTTTGAACCAAAATATAATCATTTGTATTTGGATGTTGGGATATTCCATACAAAACAAGAACTTCGTTGTTATTATCTAGATATTTTTCAGCCTAAACATAAGCAAAAGGGATTAAAGTTATTATATTAAAAAAAAATTAAAAATAACTGCGGAAATATTGTACCTTATTTACGAGGAATTCAATGGGATTCTGTGAATTATGTAAACATTCTAAAACAACTACTTTATTTGAAATTCTTGTACAATTTTTACTCTGTTTATCCTCTATGTATAACGGACCATCCCTCCATATCGCTGAATATGCTGTTGTAGAATCACCTCTACTCATTTCTTTAATTTCGCTAAACTGACTGTATGGTATCCATTCAAATAGTATACTATCATTATATTTAGTTTTTAATTGCATACTTCGAATGAAGTCATCAATTTTTTCATTTCCACTTGCCCATGTAAAATAATTTTGAACCAAAATGTAATCATTTGTATCTAGATTTAGAGATATCCCATAAATCATAAGACCCCTTTCTCCAAATATTGTGCTTGAATATATTTTGACCTAAGTAAGGTATAATAAAATAAATGAATATATTTCATTAAAAAGCACTATATTAATAATTAAAATCTATACCTCATTCATTAAAAATTCAATAGGATCTTGCAGGTTGTGTAAACATTTTAAAGCAACTTTTTTATTTGAATCTCTTGTATAATTTTCCTTCATACTATTCTTGTAGTGTAATGGACCATCTCTCCATATTGCTGAGTATATTGCTATAGAATCATCTTTGCCCATCTCTTTAATTTCATGTAATTGACTGTATGGTATCCATTCAAATAATATATCATTATATAATTTCCTTTTTTTAATGAAATTATCAAGTTTTTCATTACCGCTTGTCCAGTTAATAACTAAAATGTAATCATTTGTGTCTGGATGTTGAGATATTCCATATAATACAAGAAATTCTTCATTTTTCGTCAAATATTTTTTAGCCTAATATAAAAAAAAGATATAAATATATTGTATTAAAAAAAAAATAGAATAACTGTAAATATATTATACCTCATTTATTAAAAATTCAATAGAACCTTGTAAGTTATGTAAACATTTTAAAACAACTTTTTTATTTGAATCTCTTGTATAATTTGC